ATTTCATTGGTCATAATCTTGACTAACTGCTGTGATGTCAGAGAACGCGGACCTGTTTTTTATGATATCATCAATCCGGCCCATCCAAGCTTACACCAAGTCTCACTCCATACGTGCAGCAGTGTGCGAAACATCCTCTATCCAGCTGCTGTGATTTTTCACGTTTTAATAACGCTATTATAACAGGTGTGTCTCTGCTGTGACGCTTTTTCTGATAATTTAAGCAGTAAACTTTTTTGATTGATTGATTGATTAAGAAATATTCGTTGTCTTTACGGTCGTTTCGAGAGATTCGTATGATCACGTGTTGGTCTACGTTTCTAATTTCTTGTTATGCTCTTCTTTGTAGCCAACTTTTGCTTTTTCCGCATACATGCAGACACTGTCAGTGCAATAGTAATTTATGCACAAGAAATGATCTTTTTATGCTGTTCATTGCTTGCACAAAGGGACTATCACTATTAAGAAACATACTGTTCCTTTTGTCGTTCATATTTCGCACGAACCCTGGAATGCAGGTATTGCGAAAGACGTCAATCAGAAGCCTTTCCCAGCTCTACGCTGCGCTTCACCTCCACTTTCATTGCGTTTCACCTCCAGCTTCACCTCATATAGAACTGAAACTAGTTAGCCTGGAGTCACGGACTCAATGCTCCGGTAGACTTAGGTTCGGCCTTCATGGTCGTAACTAGCGATAGACTCAATCAACTAGCGCTTTAATCAGTCTCAGTAGGGTAAAAGTAGTGGTAAGTAAGTAGGTTTACTGCTCCACCGTATTCTTGTCAATTACGTCATTCGAAGACTTGCTATTCCTGGACCGATGAAAAACTTCTGGTTCGAATCCCAGCTGAGGTAACGCGTCATTTATCCTTTCGAAGCAGTTGAATATGTATGGCTATGATAAAAAAAGGAGGGGACCTAGGTGTTGGCATTGCGTTGAAAAATTGTATCGCTTAAGGATGAAGTCTTGATGAAAATCGGGACCCAAGCATGCAGAAATACGTGTTGCAATTCATGAAATTGTGGAACAGTGAAATCCTAACGGATATGATGAAGTTTTCCAATTTTGACCCACACGTATTTGTTCATGAGGTAGCATTTGAGGACTACCAGTTCCTGAAATACTGCGTGAGGCGACCAGCGGACAAAATGAAACGAAATGCCCGGACTGCAGGTACTCAACTACCATGGCCTGCTTAAAAAGAACCCGTTTGACAATTGGGAGTAATAGAGCAGTGCAATACGCCATGAAATCTAGTTTTGGAGGAGCCATTCATTACCATGGCGAATATTAGCACTCTTTTATTCTTAGTCGCTTGCAGTTCTCGCTCGATTGATCATTTTCACTCAGGGGTGAGTCAAGATACAGGATGGAAATTCGCTGCAGCTGAATTCGCCTCAAATCAAAGTTTATCCTTATATGTAGTTCATAGCCATCGCCTTATTTTCCTGAAAGTCTATGTAAATCAAGAGTTTCACTGTAAATGTGGGTTTGTAACAACTTACGTTGGTTCTTACTATCAGCACATCATCTGCGTATCACATCT